GCAAGATACAAAATCTGGTCCTTAAAAGCTTGCTTTAATACTTTATCTTTTGACAAATAAAGATTTTTAATTTTTTTCATCTCAAGTAAACCTCTAGTGAACAATAACTGCAACAGACATTTACATTCAAACTCTGTTCTTGTACCTCCTATCAACAACACATGATGCCCCAACAGTGACAGAACAGCTCTGCAAAATATCATCTGTGACTACAGTGATAATGGGGTCGAAAAGAAACCATGACTGCTGTCTAAAGAAAGAGGAGGGAATGCGTCAGTTCTGCAGGAAGAGGTGTAAGTTCATTTTGCCCTGCTGAAGAATGTAGAACTCTAGCTGATCACAGCGAGGCTATCAATATGAATCCTGGAGGAAAGAGCAATTATCTGTTGGAGCGAGGCAGATGAATAAAGCAAAACAGAACAACAAGCTGACAATTGTTTCAAATTCAACTGAAACACACACTTAGTCTACTAAAAAATGCACGCTCAAAGAGAAAATTACTCTGAACAAAGAAAGGGCTAAAAATGTGCTGAATATTTTTGGCTAATATCTGACTACTACTGCCTTCCATTGAAGAAAACATAGCTGGTTAGTGACTGGGACTTGTGTAGGAGGAGAGGAGATCGAATGATTGTGTGAATGGTGCTGTGCTCAGAGCTTTGGATACTATGGCTATGGACATACCTTGGAAAGATTGGGAGTCCTGATGTATGATGGGATGCCACTGACCAGGAAGACCTTGTTCTGGGAAGCAAGCTGGTTGAGCAGATTAACCTTTAAATGACAGCTGTCATGGGAAGAGGATGTGCATGTGAGCAACAGAGAAGAACCAGGGAACAATGTCACTGTAGAAAGCAGCAGGGGAAAACCTCTGATTTGTCCCAAAGGAACTTTGAGGGGATCCTTCAAGAAGGTAAGACAATTGACAGCCCAGCTGCAGTGCCTCAATGCTAAGGCACACAGCATGGGAAATAAGCAGGAGGAGATGGAAGCCAGGGTGCAGTAGGTAAATAGGACCTAACTGCTATCACAGAAGAATGGTGGGACAAGTCACACGGATGGAGTACTATGACTGACAGCCATAAGCATTTTAGAAGAGATAGAATAGGGAGGAGGGATGTGGAGTTACCCTCTATGATTAAGAAACAGACAGATTGTGAATAGTTGCCTCTGAGAAAAGCCACCACCAGCTTGAGAGCTTGTGAGCTGAAATTAGGGGCCAGAACAATAAAAGACATCTGGTGATCAGCAACACAGTAAACTGTTAGCAATCCAGGAGGTCCTGGATTAGAGGGCTGGAGCAGCTCCCCCATGCAGAGAGGCTGCATGAGCTGGGTTTGTTCATCCTGGAGAAGAGAAGGCTCAGGGGAGACGTTACTGCACTCTACAACTTCCTAAGGGGAGGTTGTTATGAGAAGGGCTTTCTCAGTATTACAATCCAGAATGAAGCAGAACAAGTAATAATATGGAAGTTCTGCATAATTTTATTATTTTATTATTTCCCCCTCCAATGGGGGGGGGAAAAAAAAGTCTACTCTATAAGTATTTATAGTGAAAAAGAAAATTCTTATAAGTTTTCCAGGTAAAATTCTAATAGGGTATTGTTCCATCTAAATGTAGTATTTTTCCCAATGTTTCCATATCTGGTACATCTAGCAGAGACTTAAAACATCCCACTGAAATCCAGCACTGAAAAAAACAGGGTATTTGATTTTGTATAAAATTCAAGTACCTCAAAGGTTTATTTCAAGTATAATGAAGTGCCATAATTGATAAATTGATTTTGTACAACATCACTTTTGCTCAATGCCTACTGTTAATAGTTATGGGAAAGGTTCAGACCCAGATTTCAGCTCTGCAAATGCTTTATTATAATGAGTACATAACCAATTTCTCTACGCATCCATTTAAGAAGAAAAAAAAAAATTCCATTAGTCTCCTCTAACCATCTGCTGTATTTTCAAATACTCATGCAAACATGTACAGCAAAGAAAAGACAAGGAGATAGAAACACTGACCTTTCTGTAATAGAAAGTTATTCTTTCTTTCAAAAGTGATTTAAAAGCTGGTAGTTATTTACAACTACTTATGCATTCATATTGAAAACACATTATGTGTATTCACATATATGCATTTACTTATGCAAATAAAATGATTAATGCATTATTAATTTCCCAAATATTTTAAGTTGCTCTGTTGCACAAGCACACAAGGGAAAAGACTTGACTTAATGTGCTTTAAAACATTTTTATAAGCTCTCTGACACACATCTTTATTGAGGGTTAGTCTTAAATACAAGCCCAGACAACGTGGTTGCAGCATTCATACACCAGGTAAACTAGTTTCAGCTCAGATGTACGAGCTTAAGCACGTTACCTGTCCTTACAGACACAGCTGGCAACAGCATGGCATATGGTCTGTTGCAACCATTGAGGTTTTTAATTATTGCTTATATGGGCAGAGAGAGCTTTTCAAAGCTACTTCCAGCTGAGAGTCTGCTGCCTCTTACAGCCGTGACAGACGATGTGCAACATGCAGGCAAGCACAGACCCAGACCAAGTGGTATGCATGCAACACCCTCAGCTGTAATTGTGCTGCACACATTGCAGACATATAGGTACAGTAATTTTTCTGCTGGTTAGCAATAAAAAAACCTTCTCAGACAGAAGAGATAGACGCCAAATAGGTCTAAAGAAGGCTTCTGTGCATCTTAGAACAGTAAAACAAAAGAGGCACCCTGGGATATACTCTGCAAATGAGCCAAACTGTTGGGACACCAAGCCAGAGTGATGCGTACCAAGCTCTGTATCAGCTATCCTGTAAATTACAAGCAACTTTAATCTTAGCCCCTTAACTAACTTCTTAAAGCACAGTGCTTTCCCTTCTTTCTGCCCTTTTTAATTCCCTGCCATCTTTCCCCAGCTACAAAAGCAGCAGCACTCAGGACATGAACTGCTAGGAGTTGGGATGGACTGTCACAGGGGACACAAGGAACAAACTCATTAGCTGCAGGTACATGGAACTTCCTAATGCACATGTTTTATAGCAGGGAGATGAGAACACAGCTTGCTTTTTTTGCACTTGAACAGAATAATTTGAGAAGGAAAGGGCATGGGTGAGACAGAGGATATTTGAATTATTATTGCTAGCAGGACATTGAGCTGGAAAAGAAGCATTTGGGGGATGATGCTCATTGGAACAGGTTGCCCAAGGAGGCTATGGATGCCCCATCCCTGCAGGCATTCAAGGCCAGGCTGGATGTGGCTCTGGGCAGCCTGGGCTGCTGGTTGGTGACCTGCACACAGCAGGGGGTTGGAACTGGCTGAGCACTGTGCTCCTGTGCAACACAGGCCATGCTGTGATTCTACAACCGAGCACAGGAAGATGTGCATGATGATGGATAGCAAACAGGAGCAACAACTTCTGCAGAAAGACAGGAGAGCTCTGAAACTGAAAAGCTTGAAAGACACTGCTGCAGAAATCAGTCTTGATACAGACTTTAACGGAAAACAAAGGAACCCTTTTCTTGAAATGGCCCAGAAAAAGCCACATCTATTCATCAACTGAATGAAAGATTCTAAAGAGGCACAATCTAAGATTTGGTTTACATCCTTGTGATACTAGAATATGCAAACAAATTCAACTCTGTAGAGAAACAGTAGCACATGACCACAGCAAATTAGATCTTTTATAGCTTTGAAGCAGAAACAAATACATAATTTATGTACGTTTGAGTATATAAGCATAATAAACACAAACCTCAAGAGAAAAGCATGAACTGCTACCCTTTTCTAAAAGTTCAGCATTTAATTACATTTCAAAACAAGCAGGAAGGTTGTGGAAAACAATGCATCATGAACAGTCTTTTATCTAAAACTGCAGCTGAGGAGGAAATCCAAGCCTAAAAATAGTTTTTCTCAGTTTTGGAGTCAGTCGAATAGTTTTGAAGAAACTTATTTGAAGAAAAATTAAACAATAAATAATTTCTTCATCATCCTGTAACACCATCTTCCAGAACCATTTATGCTTGTCCTGCACACCTCTTAACTGTTTGTTTGAAAACTTTATAAGCATAAAGATTTTCTTATGTTCTTGATTTGAAAGATTTCTAGCTTTGTGTATTTTTTTAATCACAGACTACTTACCGAAAATGAAAATACATAGATTTAGTAATATCCACCTTTGCAGATTTTTTACATGTGCTCAAAAGGCTGCTATCCACGGCACAGATTCCCCTAAGCAGAACACAAGAGGCAAGCACAAGGCAAATTTCATTTTGGTAGCATTCAGAAGCACAAAGAGGACAAGAACAAAGAAACAAACATTAGAAGTAAATGCATTCCTTTTTTCATAATTGTTAGACTGCTGGTTTTGATTCATTAATCTTTTGGTAAGTGGAAAAATGAAACAGATTGACCATTACAGAAAACAAACAAACAAACAAACAAAAAACCCTGCAAATTAAACTTATTCTAATGAAATTGCTTGCAAAGTGTGCTGCTTCATCAAGCATAACTTTCATCAAGGAGTCTGGACTACAGAGTACACATTTCTTTGAAGCAATGTGCTTAGAGGGTACTCCGAATTCAAAACACCTGAAAAGAAACTTCTTAAGCACCTACTACCATTATTTTTTTCTATTGCATATGTTTTTAAGGCCAGACAAATTCCACCAAAAAGAAAGAGGTAAGCAAAATATGGCACTTTGTGTTCAACAGATTCAAGCAAATCTGAAATTGAGCTTCTTATTAATACTCGTGTTGCATCTAAATGATCACTACATTACAGCTGTGACAAGGCATACAGAAAAATAAAATGCCTGGAGGTTTGCAGTGAATCGTTTTTCATTTCTTCAGCAACTGTTGCACAGTGATTGATCTAGTGCACTGCAACAAGGGAAACTAGCAATTAAAGGCTTCCATGAATCCAGCATTAGATCCACAGATCCTTCTTACAGGAGCAAAATCAGTGGAAAACAAGGAAACAGCAAAACGGAGAAGTAAGCTGTGCAGAATTTATTCTTTGCTGAAAAACATGAAAAATCTGAATTCTGAGACTGTATGCATAATGCAGGATTATAATTCAATTAAGACAACTATTTCTCTGATCTTACAATTCTAAGGCATTTTGCAGATGTCTGTGAAACACAGTGTGTAGAACAAGTGTCTTCCTGCTCGCCATATATTCTCAGCTCTCATTCTGTTGAAAGATACACTTAGACTTCTCTGTACAAAAACAGACTGTGCAAGGTAGGTCAAAAGATACACTGTTGTTCTAACGGAGTTTAAAACAAGGGGCACAAAATCAACATATACAATAAATATCTATATGTTACTATGGCAGTAAGAATAAATCCTGCTAATCTTGTTTCCTTTATAAATGCTCAGACCCAAAAAGCATGGGGGAAAGGGATTCCCAGCTATGTCAGCCCAGAACTAGAGGCAGTGTCACACATGCAAGTTGTACAAGTTCTGATTCCACACTAGCACAGAGATTTCTGCACTGTGCCTCTCTGCAGGCATAAACACACCCTTCCTCTGCCCTAAGAGTTCATCCACAAGATCATTCATCACTTGCGACTGTTTTGCTTCAGCTGTGTCAAAACTAATTCAGGTTTACTGATATTAGAAGCAAATAGAGCACTTACATAGAACAGGAGGGGGCAAGGTTATACAGATTTTGCTAGCACAGGCAGACAAATTAAATTGTTAACCCATGGCTACACAAAAGGTCACTTGTTAGCTTAGGGTTAACCAGAACTTCTTAGCTTATCTCTGACCTGGTTTTGACCTCTCTTGCTAATTGTAGAAGTGTTTTCAGTTCAATTGGTGAGCTGTGTTTACATTTCCCACTTTCATAGTTTTTTTTCACTTGCTTTTGAAAAATTAGCAGCAAAATATCTTTCCTTTGTCAAAAACTAATTAGCATACAGTTATCTCCATGTTGTTACCTTGAGCGGAATAGACAGTAAAGACAACGAGTAAGCAATTTCACCTGTTTCATGATGGAGGCATTTATGAAGAATGGAATTTTAAAACCTTTATTTAACTTTTTTTTTTTTTTTTTTTTTTTTTTTTTTTTCCCTCCAGATCATAAACCATTAATTCACAAAGCTTGTAAACATACTCAATTCCTCTGCTTCTAGCAAGTCTTGTTAGAAGAAAGTACACAGACATCACTGGTAAAAGAGAAGAACTAGTCAAAGAGCACACAGAAACTTACTGGATTTGCAAACATGTAAGTAAGTTGTACCCAGAAATAACCATTTGTCATTGCACCATACTTCTGAGTGGGCTGTCCACACGGGACTTGTTTAACTCCTTTACTGTCCTAGTAGTAAGGGCGAGTTTGTAAGGGTATGGATGTGATGCATACTGCTGGTCTGAAGCATAAAATGTCCCCTTCTGCAGAAGAGAAACTTCAGTTTTAGCACCTGAGTTATAATCCAAAAAATGATTTCTCTACATTGACTTTATTGTTTTCTTTACTTTGTTGTTGTTGTTTGACCAGAAGCGTTCAGGTTCACATAAAAATTTCTGGACTTAACTTAAACAACTAAGTTTAAGAGACAAACTAAATCTGAAGGCCTTGTAAAATACACATTCATTTTCAAAAGGGACCAAATATAAATCTCATCATTGAAAAGAACTATCCAAAAAACACGACTTATGCATAGTGACCTAAATAACATAAAGAATTAATGTTTGAAAACCTTCAAAAATTAGATTCTAAAATTAAAATAACCAAAATTCCACATACTTCTAAATTCTGAAGTCTTCCCAGTCTGTTACACTGACATTCTGTTTTGTGATCAAACTTCTCCAAAAGAAATCTAACAGGTACTATTCATCCAAGAGATCACATAAATCTAAACCAAGCTCCAAATTTTCATCTTTTTTTTTTTTTTCTAAAGGAAATTAGGGTAATCTTCAATCATCTGAACAAAAGAATAAAAAAGCTCGCCCATTGCCGTTCATTTTACTGGAGGTAAACACTTTTTAACTACGAAGGGCCTCCAAGTTGCTTTGTTACAGTATGCACAAATCCTTGGATTAAATTCAGATCCACATTCATTGGCTAGCTGCAAATACATCCCACTGTATGGTAGGTACAGTTTTCCTATATTTTTACATTATTTAACAAAAGTTCCATTCTTCTTAGTTTGCGCTTATTCTTTGGCATTGGCTTGTCATATAAGCCATTTTTGAGAAGATGCTCCTTGCTGTGATGGATCTGGGCTCCATGCTGAAGCTGGAAAGAGCACAGAGCTTGAAGGGGTCGTAGTATAGTCTGCAGAAAAAATGGAAGAGAGGGAGAAGGAAGAGATGAAAAAAAAAACAGGCTTTTCAATCTTCTAGTAGGCTATCTATCTTGGAAACATCATTTATTCAAGAACTACTTTAATAAAAAGATAAACTACAATCGTTGGAGCCACAGAGAACATTTGTGAATAAGGGGAAAAAAAGCCACACATCCACCTGTCTGCTACAGTTCTTTACTCCTTTTTTACAAAGAGACTCACCTCCAGTTCCAGCCACGTTCTTCCAGTTTTAACTTGACCTTAGCAACTGACTACAGTCACTGCAGTGACTCAGCCAAATTGTAATAATAATAACAAAAGAAAAATAGCAGTAAAGAAACTGCTTGTGATTGCATGAAAATAACTTAGGGCAGGGTTTTACGAAGAGGACTCATGATGAAGGTTGCTAGACTTCTGTACTGGGGACTACACTGCATCTCTCCTTCTGTATAGGAATACTATGCAGTATTAATGAAGCAACTTAAAGCCAACTTGACTCAAATGGTTACTAACTGTGAGGTCTTCATTTTCTGGTTGTCTGGGTCTGGTTCACAACTACTATTAGGTCTGCTTCAAAAGGCTTACTAAAATGTCACCCAAAAAAGAACATTATCTCTTTCATCATAGACTAGTGTGATCAAAACTTGCAAGGATAAGGCTAATGTCCAATTAGCTTCCTTTGACCTAGGATAAACTTTAACTTAAGCACTGTTACACCCAAATTTCTCAAATGACACCTAAGTGTTGTGAGCACAAAGACACAAGCCAGTGGGTTGCATTCCATGCCTGCAGAAGTGCAGGAGGTCAGTAGGATAGTCTTACAAAAGCATTTCTCTCCAAGCTAGCTGTAACATCTGTAGTCTACAAGCCAGCTTTTGCAAAGGAAAACTTATTTTCCATGAACTAAAACACCTAATTGTCTACCTCAAACCAGATCAGCTATTGGGTTTTTTTTGCGTTACAGAACACCTTGCTGCTCTTTGACTGCAGAAGATCATATTTACCTATTTAAAAAGATCATGATTATTAGACTTTAGTAAATATTTTCAGACTAACTACTACTAACTTTAACTTCTTAGAGTCTACCAGCAGTCATTCTCAAAGACTTTTATCAGCTCAGTAATTTTAAACTCAGATCGCACCTGAACTTAAAAGGCAGTTAAGTACCTGAATATACTAATTAAGAACAGAAACTTACTGAAGCCAATTTGCAAGTTTTCCTAAATTTTCACATCTTGGAAGTAGTTTTCCTTTTTAAAAAATACATTAAAATGTACTTCAATAATTCTCAAGAGCTTCCAACTGATAGCACCTGAAATAACACTATTCCCCCCATCAGACTATGTAGAGACTGGTGAAAATATTTGAATGAGAAATCAGATGTGAAAATTGAACAAATTCGTATTTGATCTCAAATGATGTAAACAAACTTTTACAGGTACACATATACATGCAAACATACATAAAATGTCTTACAGGATGTATGATTTAAGATAAATAGCCTGTACTGACTTTACTTAAGTTTATCTACTGTTCAAAAGAAGCAGAATAAAGTCAAATGCACAAAACCTTCTAAATCCAGGCCTAAAATTCCAAACGTTGTCTACCTCAATACCAATGAATTAAATAACTAACATGCCTTTTTGCCTTCAAGAAAATTAAAGACCAATGTGATTATAGGTTATATAATAATTCCCAAGTTTATTAACATTTTCTGCTGCCACAAAATGCTAATCATACTACAGAGTAAACATATCTTCAGTAACATATAGTATGTAAATTCAACATATTACAACAGAACATACTGTAAGCTAACACTGCACATAAAATACATCTAAATGCAATATTGTTAAGAAATAGCCTCCAAAAATTTGTTATAAAAAAAAGAAATCAATCCAACACTACATTATGTAAATTAGAGTACACATTCTTGGTAAACAATCTATGATCATCTGCTTTGAAGTTTTGCAATAAGAAATGTCAAAAACACAGGAGGAGGTAACTATCACAGTGCATCCATGCACCATGTGCACATACAACATACACCACACTACAGCACAGTTTTGGACTAAGTCTTTAATTTCTACATGTTTTTATTCCACGTTGTGGACGGTATAACATATACTTGGTGCTTTATCAAACAATTTCTTAACAAATGCATGGATTAAGAGAATCTGAGTAATTCTTTCCAAGACATTTCAAACTGCAAGGAAGTAGCATAAGACAACAGCATGCAATGAGAGAGGAAAATGAGATAGAAGGGAAGAACGAACTGGACGAAACAGAGATGCTGAGTTAAAAATATGTAAAAGCTACAAGAGAGGAATAGTGAATTAAAAAGTCAAAGCAAAAGAGGGAAGAAGGGAGATTGACTAGCAAGTACAAGAAAAACAGAACTCAAATCAAGAGAAAAACAAAACTGAAAACCGCGCAGCACAAAGTGAAAGTTTGATAAAGATTATCCCTAAAACAGCACAGTGAAGACCTGCAAAAGTTGCAAAGTTGTCTCAGGAAAGCAGTAGGTAAAGCTAGAAAAGAAAAAAGAAGGGGGAAAAAAAAAGAAAAAAGGAACTGAGAAACTGAGTTGGGAATGTAACAATGGGAAGTTGTTGTCAATGAGCAATCTTCTCCAAACACAAAATGGAGCATGACTGCAGGCAAAACTGGTCTGTACAGCAAATTCTGCATTCATCCATATTTCAGCACTAAATACTTTCTTTTTTTTTTACAGGCGATGATCAGACAACTACTGGTATCTTTAACATCATTAAGGCAAGATTTTTATCTGCGAGCTCTCTCCAGGAAAAGCCAATCCTTAGTGGCCAAAGAGCCAATCTAATTCCATCATGGGACAAGACGAAAAATATTGTACTGCCATTTACAGTTCTGAAAACAAAACTGTCAAAGCAATCAAAACCAGTAAATCTAATTCCACCAGCAATCTGACAGCTATGTTGAACACAGCACAGGAAAACTAAATAAACTTTTCAGAGTTACAGGAGGCATAAAAAACTCAAGATACTAAACAAATAGCTGTAGAAAACTAGTTTCTGCTGGTAGTCCCTTTTTAGTTTGCTTTCTCAGTTTGACAAAACTGTCAAATGCAATCTCTTACGATTTTCATTGTCAAATGCTGTATTAATAGCTAAGTAATTTTGCTACCATTCCACTATTCACAACAGAAAAACTTGTGTATTTGAAATTAGTTACGTACCTCTTGTATATTCTTGTTTTTTTCCATGATAGTGAGAGCAACAGCAGCACATTCAAGCGTAGAGAGACAGCTGTTTGTTGGCTGTGTACGAATTACGTATTGACTTGAAATGTTGGTTTTTAACTGCACCTGAAAAACAGCAAACTCTACTAAAATGTCAGTATATCAAATATATTTCTTAGCTTCATGCAGTTCTGCCTCCCAATAGCCAGTGACCTTATAATCTGTTAAGTATACAGCCTACAAGTCACCATCTGAGACAAGAACTGCACGTTCATTATTGTACAAACATGTAAAGAAAACACAAGTGTATGTCAGAGACAGACTGAAAGAAACAAATGTTGTACAGCACGCTTAAGTAGTTTTTCTTCTGCACTTTTCATAAGCAAAAAACCCAGGAAACAGATTAATTTTAGTTACCAATTTCACTTGCCATGCAAATTCTATAACAAAACAAAATTATTCACACATTTGTTCATTGCACACTCTAACACAAAAAGGATTCTATACAGTACCCAATGGACACACATCATACTATAAAATAACTGTGTAATCACTGACACTATTTCCCCTGGTTAAAAATTGCCATTTTCTAAAAGACTTAAGTTATACATTTATTCATACAATACACCTCTAATTAGAGCAATTTGCTTATTTGTATCATGTTTGAAATTGATCTATTTGCTCTGCATCAAGCAATAACCACTTTATACTACCTCACAATTTAGAGGTACATCAGAAGAAGAAAGCTAGTTCAACCAATTGCCTATTTCATTAGCTACAAAAGCTTTTACTGCATTTCTAAACGGCCATAAATTTTTGAGTTTCTTTTAAAGTAAGATATAGTATGGTGCAACAAACCCTAATGAGTTACTATTAAAGTTCAAATCAATTCATTTTCCCTATCTGAATCTCTAATAAAGTACTATTTATTTTTTCCATCTTCTATGGAAAATGGATTACTTTTTTCCCTGGCTAACACGATATTGCTCCCATTTTCCACTAGTAGTGGAAAAACTAGAGGTTTCACTACTACTTGCTTTATTCAGACTTCTCCCTCTTCTTTCTATTCGCAGTGAATCATTTTCCTCCATCTCTATCACATGTAATTACCCCATTTTAAAAGTTCAAGATCTCTCATTTATAAAACGAAACCTCCAAGCTAGAGGGGAACCTTGAACAAATTAGATCAAATTCTAACACTTTCCTGTCCTCAATTTTATTAAAACAAAAAAAAAAAAAAAAAAAAAAAAAAAATCCCCCAAACAAGAGCCATCTGAAAAGGCAAAGCCATTCTAAAAAGGCAAAGTAAACCACCTATAAAAGCTTAACATACTCAAGCAAAAATAAGGAAAAGAGAAAAATGTAATTTTGAGACAGAAGGTCCTGACTCTTTTGTCAAAGGAAACTGCCTTGCCATTTTTTTTTTAAGTGCTTTTCTTCTTTCTGGATGGGACAAAATTGAAGGGCAAAATTATGCATGCGTCAGAATGTTTTTAAAGTTTTCAGTATGGATTGTTTAGTTTGGAGAGGTCATTTTCACAGGTATGAACTCGCCCTTATCAACTACTTCCTGCAATTTGTTACAGCAGTAAAAAGTGAAAGAAGAGAAACAGATTAAGGATAGAAAACGTAGACTTTGGATTGCGGTGTATATAATGAGAAGTAAGGAAAAATGAAATGAATATATTCACATTTTCATCTGTCATTCCTTAAGGCTCACTTTATGCTTACCTTCCCTTTCTGCAATCACGTAAGGATGTCCAGAAATCTAGTTAATGGCAATTATACACAGATCTATTCTAACAGGAGCTTTTAGTCCCTCAGAGCTGCTTACAATATTATCAAAACAAACCAAAGCTGTCCAACACAACTGCAACACAAACCCTGCTGCTCCAGGACTAGCCTGAGCAGGGCAGTTACCTAACCCCGTTTTCTTACCATCAGGCAATCACTGTCTCCACTGAGTATCTCCACAGAGACTTCATCACCCACCCAAAGGTGCACTGCCTTCCCCCTCCTCAGACGCAGACAACAGTGCCTTAAGGCTTCTTTCATTCTTTCCTTTGTAGGAGCTGTCTGGAAAAATTTCTATCTGCTAGTTTCTATGTTACATTGCTTACGGGTCGTGCAGAGTAACTTTTAAGTCATAAGTATTCCAGAGAGAGGAAAATTATTCATGACTGCAAAAGAACTTTTAGGGAAGAAACGCTGCCTTTGCTCTGCCTTATACTCTGAAGTCCAAAAGTCTGTAAAGTACAGAATTCAAACAGCTGACATTGTACAGAAGGGCAAATTTGTATTTCTAAGAGCAAGAGGAACCAAATTCCTTCTTCTTTCTTGGGGATAATGAGAGGATGGAAATCAAGTAGTTTCCATCCTCAGACGTGGCTGGGAGGCGGATGACACTACCCTGCTCTGCCAGCAGGCCTAATCCTTTCCTTGCCTTTTGAGGAGCTGAATTAATGGTCTCCAAGGTCCCTTCAGGAAGTTCTCCAGTACCTAGACAGGTTATTTCTCTGTTATGTGTGTATCTCAAATCCAGCTGAACAGATTTAATTCTCACTTAAGGAAGCAGTGCAAATGAAATCAGACTGCCTATCCCAGTGCTACAATTCAAAATCTCAGAATGGGTGTAGATAAGCAATATATTAAAGTACACTTCAGAAAGATAATCATAGTATTTTATAATCATTTCACTGCAAAACAAAGGTATAGTGATAAAGAAATAACATACTCAAAATAATTTGCAAACATATGCATGTTTTGGAATGTTTTCAGTTATTGACAAAATACAGCAATGTCAGGTTGAAAAAACAGCAATCCATTTAACACTGCTTATCAGAATGAATAGCATAAGACAGAAGATGGAGATATCTCAAGCAATTCAAATTAGAGAGAGGTATTAAGCTGAATGGAACAACTCACTGGAATTCAGACAGAACACTGAAATTAGGGTATCTATACAACGCATACAGCAAAGTTTTCTGTTTGTAAATCAAGACCCAGAGTTTCCAGAAACCTGCATGCCAGCAGTTCTCACACCTTATTACACTAACTAGCGGAATGCAGGATTCAGTGTTGGCTCTCTAGTGTCTCTGAGCATCTGCAGAGCATTAGAATCACAATAGGAACAGTGGTCCTTCACAGTTTCTCGTGTGCTGGGTTTTTCTTCAGGGCCCTCTCTGGAGATGCACTGGACACAACACCCTAGTGGATGATCCAGCTGAGCTGTTGAGAACTGAGGAAAGCAAAGATTGGCTTTGATATGGTGAAATACTTACTGACAGAAATTTTACAAAATTCAGTCAGTTAAGGCAGGCAAGGGAACTCTGCTTTTATTTTAGATAGTAGGACTGGAAGTCTTGCAGAAAGCTTGCGTGTTACCCTCATTCCCCACCTCAATGTCAGTTTCCTTTTCACCTTTTCAATGCCAATTTCTTCATCAGTATTTTTACTAGCTTTATTCTCTAAAGAGAATGCAGCATTATGCACTATATTTGGAAAACAATGCATCCCAAGGAACAAAGAAAAGCAATAGGGTTAGTACATCCGTCTATGAGAGCACTCTTTCAACAGTTCTTAGTTTCCTCTGCTATTTCTGCAATTAGACCATAGCTGCACCAAGATACAAAGAGGAACAAAATATCCTTCTGTGGCTTCAATGAAAATCCTAACACTTGTTTTAAAGCCCCCTCTTCCTTTACTTGTGTTGACAGAAATTCTGAAATTTAGGCTTACGTTTCAGAATTGATTTGCTCTGCTCCAACAGAAGGATCAAAGAAAGGGCCATCAGCCATACTTCTTAACTTATGCAGTGGTTACAACCTCACATTTCACACATGCGGTTACTGCAATTATCTTCCAGAAAAAAATACCATAAGCCCTTTTTTTTTTTTTTTTTTTTTTTTAAAGGAACTCAAAGAGCATAAAATAACAGGAAGTCTGAAAAAAAACCTGTCATTTTGGTCTTCATTCCAGAAACTAAGGAAAATCGCTTTTAAGGAACAGCACTGTCTGTGTGCTACTCCACAAATAAACTCCAACAGGAAAAAGAAATGGGCATGGAAAAGATCCCTCACTCAGCATCCAGCTGGCAAGCACTTTTTACCTGTAAGCCAATATAAACTGTGTTCTATATATTAAAGCACAGAAAACTCAAGCAGTTAAATAAAGTTCCCTTCGTGACAGAGAAAATAACCTGAGTGAAGTTAGCTTCAGCATGCCACTGAAATTTAGATCAGAAATATGAATAAGTTATTTCATTCAAAATCTTGGCTTTAATTTAAAGTGACATCTTAAGAGCACTGTTTTCGAGCACTGCAGGGAACAACTGCCATGAAACTGTCACAAATGGATAGCCTGAAAAAGTAAATGGATGTCACAAAGAAACCTCTGCCCACTCTGCATGTTTTCTAATTGAATACTTAGGTGTATCTGTGACATTGCTGTGCGTGCTCCATGTACCATTTGTTGCAGCAAACCACAAATCTTATTGTGACTTTCAGGTAAGCCTTAAGAAAGCAGTCTGTCCCATTTCTATGAGATAACAATGTATTTTCCACGTTTTTGTGGATATTTCACAATGACCACCCGAAATCACTCTGTGTTTGTGTACCCCACAAACCTTCCTCTTGGCAATGTATGACTTGTACCTCTACAAGGCTAGGGATATCTCCCTGCTACTGCGACTAGAAATGTGATAAACCTAACATTCTCCTTTGCTAGAGAAGCAGAACAGCTTCTGTAGTACAGCACAATGTGGCTACAAAACATTCTGTGTGCCCAAACCACTTTCTTCCTCTCTTCCTGAACTGCGATCCCAATTCAGTCTTCCACACGTCCAACACAGAAAGCCTCTTATACCCCTATAAAAACTACCTGTATTAGAGCAGCACCCTGACTTTCTTCCCAAGGTCGTTAAGTATATGGCTAAAAGATGAAAACACGTTGTACTTCCATGCACTTTCCAAAATGCCCTTATTTTGCTCCTGTAACCCAAGCAGATTAAGAAACGAACTGCTATTTCCAGCAAGCACTGCGCAGTGAAGATAGCTGGTCCAAAACAAGTCAGTAGAGCTACTCATTGAATTACCTAATAATCATCATCTGCATATAACCCTAGAAAG